CACACAGCATCCCCCCAGACACACACACAGCATCCCCCCATGCACACATCATCCCCCTGCCCCCTCGCAGCGGCGCTCCCAGGCTGCGGGGCGGGCCCGGGATCCGGCACCGGGGCTGGGCCCGGGCGAGCGGGGCTTCCACGCCCCAGGCCAGCCGGGGAGATGCTCCTTGGCTGGGCTGGGGCTGCCCGTGGCCCGCAGAGCCCCCGGCGCGCTCGGCAGCGGCTCCGGGGCTGCAGCGCTCAGGGCACCGAGCGCCCCGGCTCCTTCCCGATGTGCAGCCAGCCGGGGACTTCTCCCCGCCGCCCTCCTTCCATAGGGCACGATAAGGAGCCAGTGAGCCAGAAATGTCTCCTGTCCGCCGCGGCCAGCCAGGCTGTCACCGGAATGGTCTCGGGCTCCATCCGCGCACGCACGGCTTTGTCTCATGGCTGCAGCCCCCGGCGCAGCCTGGCCACCCAAAGCCTTCGGAAGGGCTGGCGACAGCACGATGGAGGCCACCGGCGGCTGGACCACGGGCGGTGGAGCTGCAAGGCCGGGGAAAGCCGGGAAGGGCAGGGAAGAGCTATGGGGAGCTGCCTCTGCCCGCGCATCGGCACCTGCAGAAACAGCAACCAGCGCACAAAAAGTTGTCGGCAGAGGAAGGGATGGGAAGCTCTTTTCCGTTCCTGGTTGAGCAGAAGTTGGCATTTCCATAACAAACTACATTAGTAGGTATAAACACGATAATTAGCTGTAGAAGTGCTGGGTTTGTACCTGTAATTAATTGTCCCCGGAATCAAGTTAGCTGTGTGAGAGGAGCCTGCCTATTGTGGTGTTTAATGCAATCTGTCCCTTTCTTATAAATACCAAACATGCAGGTCTGATAAAAATATTTACTAAAAAAATAAAAACCTGATGCTTCCATTTGTGAATGGATGGCTTCCAAGTAATTAAAACTGCTGAGAATAACAAATATACTTAAAACTGACCAGTATCAAAATCAAAGCTCATTTCTGCTTGCTTTAGGCTCTTCTTTTCAATAACTATCATGTCATGCTTTGAGCGAAGCTGTTCTTTTTCCCTAAAGGATTCGGAGTTTACGTGCATTTAATCTCATCTGCAGCATTGCAACCACCTCAGCAGCGCAGCCCTGCTCCCCAAGCCTCCAGTGAAGCGCTATCTGCAGTGACAAATATGCCAAAAGGAAAACATAACCAGCCTAGATGGTATCTTTGCTTTACAAAGGCTGCTTGTGATGCCTTTGCTTTGACTCAAAACTCCCCGCACACTGGCTTTTTAATCATGAGATCCCTTTTTCAGCACAGCATCGAGAGTAACAACTGCAGCACAATGAGCCAGCTTCATAGATATGGGAATGTTTAGATTTCCCTGCCAGTGACTAAAGGCCTTTAGCTTTCACTAGCCAGTCCCAGCTCGCATTGTTGTTGCCTGTTGATTTGTCTTCTCTCATTATTCCTTGACATGCAGCTCTCCACCCACGCCCACACTAACAACCCTCACACAAAGCGCATTGAGGTATTAACCAGGTTACAAGTTCAATGGAAAATTACACTAAGATTGTGCTGTGTGGCAATATAAAGGGATGGCATTCACTCTCCCAAAGAGCCTGTTAAAAACACAGCTGGGTTGTTTTTTTCCCTTTTAAGCATCCTAACAAAAACAATTTTCAGAAGTCGGGGATGTATATCTGGGTGGATGTGTGTCCATACGTACTTTAGGTACAATGGGGACAGACAGACACAGGCGTGCTCCGTGCCTCCACCTCTGCCTGGCACGGTGCAAACTGCCCTCTGGGAATTCTGCTGGATTCTGGAGTTCGTTTAGAGCATCCCCAGAAACCCGAGCTAAATAAACAACCTCCTCCTGCTCTCTGCTGCAATTAGATACGTGAAGCTCTCTTCTTTTTGTTAGCCCAAATTACAGGCCAGTGGAAGGGCTGAAAGTCTATAAAAGTGTTCCTTAAGAACCCCTCCTTACTGAAAACTGAAAATAAAATCAAAATAAAACTTAATGAGATTAACCTAGCACAGTAACAAAATTTGCAACACCACACTATAAGGTTAAAAAGAAAATAGTATAATAAAGGAAATACAAAGGCTTTGGCATGGTTTTTACAATCAACAATGGTTAATCTTGATATGTAGTTGTGAACAACTTCAAAACACTTAAGTTTAAAACTCTTGCAAGCACTTTTAATTGATTAGGAATGAATTCTAGATGCACAAAGATGATTGGACTGTGAACAGTAGTACAACTATTTCTAAGAACAATTAACTCTTGCCGACCAAAAAAGAAACGTATGATGCATGAAAATGTGTATAAAACATCTATAGAATATTCTTGTCAAATATAAATGAAATTAACTTTATTATAGAAATCATTCTGGGAGATTTCTAGGGAAGACAAATACTTACATTTCGACATAAAACAAATTGGATTATATCGAAGACACAATCTACCTTTTATCTATCAAACTCTTTTCTTCATCGAAGCTCTCTCTTAACCCCTGTTTGCACATAGCTTCAGCCGTTAACAACCTTTGGAAATACCAACAGATATTTTTCTTACATAAATCTAGTGCGTATTGTTCCAGGTTTAATTATATGCAATGGAATGATACAAACTTGGAACGTCAATCCATAATCTATGAACAGATTGGTAGAAGTATTCGATATATCTTGATAAAACTCTTAAATTCGTGGCAAAGCTTGTTGATCATGGCTTCTTTTTTTTTTCCTTTTCTTTTTTTTTTTAAACAACTTCATGACCAACACAGATCAAACATCCATCCAGTCTACATTGTTCTTTTTTTTTTTCATTATAACATACAAATGCCCATTTACAAATAATACACCAAAATGAATAAAAGTTTGGATACCAAAATGAAGATTTGTTCCAACTGATATAATGCCTTCAGTGTACAAAGGTCCATGTGAAAGTCTTTTCCATGTGTTACAGCATAGGGCACAGTTGCAGTACAGAAGTACTCTGACAGCCATTCTTCCTTTATAAAATACTGCTGAACATCCAACTGTTGTCCATATAGTCATTTACGGAATTAACACATGTTTTACTGTAATCTTGGCCAGTATTGAGACATATCAGGTTCACTGCCAGGAACTTGAACTGGAACTGACACTCCAGGGGAAATGAGACCTGAAAATTGAGGGGGAAAATGGATATTTTAGTTTTTCTATACATAGCACAATTTTTGCTTTACAGTTTCACAGATTTGTGAAACTTGTAAAAGCTTGTATTCCAGTAAACATGAAATCTCACCATCTACCAGCCTATGGAACCAGGGGTTAGGGGTGTATATATTTTAAAAACCATGCACATCTCACTGTTTGTTGTTATAAATAAACTTTCATGCTTTGAGATAAATGCCAGGGTGATTTGTATCAGTTGAGAATTCAGCCCAAAATACACTGAACAGTTCTATTCTTTTGAAAAGTGCCTGGTTTGCTCCTGTTTATGCTGACACTTGCCCTTTTTTACCCTGATTTGCCTTTTTTATGCATGGGCTAATATTTCTACAGGTTCCCTGCTTCTTTGATAACTTCAAATCTTTAGCAATAAATAACGTCTGACACAGACACGGTAAAAATATGCCCAGACCTGCAAACAGTTTCACATACACTTAACCTCACCACTGCAGATATCTCTCCTGAAATTTAATGCTGAAATAAATGCTGATTGAGAATTTAATTATACAGGGAAGATTTTGAGGGATGGGGGGCTCACTAAAGAGCTTGCCTCTGTCCTGCTATTTCAACACCACCTCTGCTAATCAGCTTTCTTTCCATCTAGCCCTCCAAGAAGCAGCTTAAAAATCAGAACTATTGCTCTAGTTTGCAAGCTTATACATTTTCATCTTCTGCCTGGTATGGCAGCAACTAACCCCAACAGAAAGACCTCCCCCAGTGATGGGGAGAGGCTTCTCACAGCGAATACACGTGCAAAGCCTGATGGCTGGAGCAAGGAAGGCACAGTGTCAGGAAGGCTGGGGGAGCACGGGGCCACTCACCTGTGGAAGTGGTGCCAGAGGTGCCCATGGGCTGGCTGTTCATGTGTGTCTGCATGTGAGGAGGGGTGTAGGTATCATAGCTCCGTCCATTCACCGATGGACTGGTGGGCAGCATGCAAGAGTAGGAGGAGGTCTGGCTGGGTACCGGGGGCTGTGGGAGCAAAGCACAGAGAGTTAAGTGTCCCTGCAGGTAAAGACAGCATCACACCCTTGGGCATGGGCATGCCAGCCCCCAGAGGCAGCGTGCAGCAGCAAAAAATGAGCTTCAAGTTTCAAATTCAGGGACCCCAATGCAAAGACCTGTTTAGGAGCCCAACCAAGCAGGCCCTTCATGGAGGGTTTTAGTCTAAAAACCAACATGGATGGTTACTGGCACTTTTTCAGACATGCTTGGTGAGACAATCCCTACATCCAGATGCTGATGGAGCTGTTACATCCCTAAGCCTGAGTGCTGCCCTCATTTATAACCATGCAAAAGGAAGATGTCTCCTACCATTTGTAGCCAGAGGCAGAGACAGTTAAGATGCTGTCCCTGCATCTTACCTCACACTTGATGCTGTATCTAAAATTACTCCACTGAGGCACAGAGGCTGGTCCTGTGTCTGCCAGCGTGGGGCACATACACACAGACCATGTGTGGGGTTGGAGGGCCCAAGGCTCTGAAGGGGAATTCCCAAACCCATACATAGATGTGCATTGATCCCCATCAGAGCCACAGTCACCCCAAACCTGTGCCAGCAACATCCCAGAACAGACATCTCCATTTACCTCCACTCCAAAAACCCCAATTTGCCAGGGGGGACAGCAGCTAGGGCCAGGGGCTGAGGGATGCCACAGTGCCACAGAGGGACCAAGCAGGGGCTTCTCCTGCTCCAGGCTGCTGGGTGAGTGGGGACCAGTGCAGCCTTGACCCAGGGAGGCAGTGGGGGAGCAGGATGAGTAATTCCCACCCCGAGCTCCCGAGACCCGACATGTCTGCACGAATTTCCTGTCTGCACCTCCCTGCCACAAGCCATCTCCAGCAGTACTGAGAGCCTCACTTGCTGAGCACACACACTGTGCTTGGGGACAGCAAGGAATTGCTCCGTGCACCCACAGAGAGATGCTCGGCCCCCAGTCTCCCTCCCCGACACTGCGTGGCTGCCGTGCCACAGTGGCCACGCAGGCAGCGTTTTCCAGAGCGGCTCACACGTGCTGTGTCCCTGCCCAGGTGCCCAGTGGTGAATCAGGGGCCTCCTGCTTTCCCAAGGGTCCCCTCCTGTATCAGTCTTTTGATCTTTTGTCATCTGCTCCCAGCCCGCTGCCGGGAGCGGCGCCGCCAGCCTCCAGCGTCACGAAGCAGCGACCTAGCCAACACCGTGTCTTTCCATAGACTTGCAAGACTCTAACTTTATTTGGTTAATTTTGGTTCAGCAATTAGTAACATCGTAATTGCCGCAGCGAAGGAGTCAGGCTCTCTAATCTGCTCGCCTGTCTCTAGCAGTGGTCAATGCTGTGTGCCTCAGACAAAGCTGTAAAACTCCCGTAATTGGCCAGCACCTTCCTAGGCCAACCCCACCATTAAAAAAGGAGGAATTTTGCATCTGAAAGGTCTATAGAAACAGACCCCAAAGGAATAGATTTCTTCCTAACCCAGCTGGTGATCAGCTAATGCTTTCAGGCATGAGGATTGACAGCTCTTGCAATTCTGGCTTAGCTGGCATAACCACTGATGCTAATCACATCCTTCCCTCTCTCAGGTGTTCCTAATGTGCCGCTGCCACGTTACCTACACCCAGAAGGTCGGATCCCTCCAGCAGCTTATTCAGGCAGCAATTTCCACAATATGGTATCTGCGAGGTTAACCACATTTTTTTCCTCCAAACAGCGTTTTTTATCCCAGATTTGTTGCCTTGCAAATTTGAGGACTTTTCTCTCTTAAAACCTAGGAAAAGTGCTTGTTGAGCACCACATCTTTCAGTACCCTTTCTCTCCTGATTCCCCCAAACAGGGCATCTTTTCAGGTGCCAAGGAAGCCTTTTGGTGCCACTTTGCCTGCAGCATGGTTTGGGTCTGTAATCCCTCATCCCACAAAGGAAGGGTCCCCACCCACGCTCCTGCACAGCCCCGGGGCCGCCGAGTGCCGAGGGAATGTGGGGAATGTCGTGCCCTGGCGTGGCACTGCACTTACTTGCATAGGCAGGTTGTTGGCCATGGTGAAGCTGGGCATGGGCGGCAGCGCGCTGTACGTGTTCGTGAGCGCCGTGTCTGTCCTGCCCAACATGGAACCTGATGTGAAAGAGGAAACTATAATAGAATAGACAGACAGATGAACACATTAGTTTAACCACAGTTACAACTGGCAGCACAGCCTCAGAGTCCCATTTTGCCCAGGGGATGGACGGACATGAGTGGGTGGGTGGCATTACCGGGGGTGGTTGGTTGTGGGATCGGCTGGTAAACGCTTGTGCTGAAACTACTACTGATGGGAATGTGGCTGGGAGTGTTGCTGGCTTGTCTTCGCTGGTTCCTCAGCTTCTCTTCCCTTCTCCATTTGGCCCTTCTGTTTGAAAACCACACCTGGAAATAGAGCATTTGAGAGACGTGAGTGACCTTACAAGGACTAGAGGCACGGGGCCTCCCCCACTATGTAGCTCAAGGCCATGGCTTGCAGTGGAGCAAAGCAGCGGGTGAAAGCAAAGCCAGCTGCTGCTATTTTCCTGAAAGAGGGATGTGGGCAAATACCTGATCATAAATGTGGGTCGCCCCATGCTTTGAGAAGACAGGAGTAATGAAATCAGAATAGTAATAGTAAAAAATAATAATAGCTATAATTGCAGAGCAAATCAGTACCTGTATCCTTGCTTCAGGCAGGTCTATTTTAGCAGCTAGTCTCTCTCTTGCAAACACATCGGGATAATGGGTCCTCTCAAATTCTGCAGAAGGAAATATTCTTGTGTTAGTTGCAGAGTTGATATGGCTGACTGTAAAATCAGAGCTGTTCCTGCACTGCCTGTGCTCTAAATGCTCTTGGGAAGCATCACTGTAAAGGCAAAGCTGAGCTTTCTGTCTGTGTGTTAGGAAGGAGGACGCCTTGCCTGCCGGGGAGTATTGCTATGGGGATGGGCAGGCTTGGGTGCAATGCTGCATCTTTCAAGAAGCAGTGAGGGCTTCTGCCTCCACCGAGGGGGTCCCCAAGGCAGCTCTGACCCCATCAGCAGGAAGCAAAATGGCACGTCGCTAAATAACAGCACAAAATAAGGACAAAGCTCCGCAGAGGGTCAGAGGCGAGGTGCGCCCAGGCCGGCCAGGGAAAAGGGCACCTGCTCCCAGCCCCGGGCAGTGGAGCACTGGGGATGGGGAGTGAGTGTGGGGGCAGGCACGGAGGGCTCTGCCAGCCCCCTGCCTGCCCTCACCTCCCCAGCAATGCAGCACAGCGGACACGGGAGGAGAGTCATCCCCCCAGGAGAAGCCCAGGGTGCAACATCAGTGTGTGGCGTGATCTGCGCCCTGAACACTTTGCCTTTGAAAACCATTTTAACAGCTTTTCAGGACACACCACAACCACCAATGAATATTTGGAACCCCGTGAATAAAAGAGCATGGAGGGAGCCACAGAGTTTAAATATATACATATATATAAGGCACAGGAATGCCATGCTTACATTCAGCTGGCATTGTAGTCAGGGCACATTTTGCTTTTCTCTCCTGCTTCAGCCATAGGAAAATGTCACTCACCTTTCTCAAGGGCTTCGATTTGCTCTTGGGTAAAGGATGTCCTATTTCTCTGCAGCTTCCTTTTCAGCTGGAGTCTCATTTGGGCCTCGTCTGAATCTTCTCCATTAGAGCTGATGGAGTTGGTGTTTTCCCCTCCTCCCTCCTGTTGCGGACAGCCATCTGTGGAACCGAGAGTCGGAAAGTGAAATGCAGGTACCCTTGTCTGAAGATCCCTATCAGAGAAATAACGCAACTGGAAACGAGTTCAGCCATGTTTGCTGACACCCTCCCTTAAAAAAACGTCTCGAGTATCAAAGCAACACGGCGCTAATGGCAGGGGTAACACAGAAACATTTCAGTTTCCAGCCTTATGTAAACATCGGAGATGAAGAATTATGATCACCTGGTCTTAATTTCATTTTGTTTTCCCTCTGGAATAAAACCTGCATAAAAATACTTTCCCCTGAAAGTGATTCTTTCCTTGAATCCCTGCTGGAGTGCCATGGCAGTCTCCTCTGTCTGCCGCATTTATTTACCTATTGCTATATTTAAAATAGTGATGTTCAGTATTTCAGATTATCTATAATCAGTAATTCCTATCTAATCAATTAGATGTTGATAGGTTTGCAGAAAATGCTATTAAGAAACCAAACCAAGCTTGTAATCTTTTTAAAAAAATATTTATCCAGTTTTTATTTGAATTCTGCACAGTCAATTTCATTTTAAAGGTTGTGAATTTAGAAGTGCCTGCATTGTTCTGCAGTTTTATTCAACTATTGTATGAGTGTGCATTGCCTTGACACCTATTACTGAGCACAGCTGTAATTATATCATCACCAAGAACAGGCTATAATTGCTGAAAATGGAATTTTATATTTAGATAAAAGGACTGTCCATTCTTTGTAATGTGTTGCACCAGAGAAAAGTAAGATTTCTTTTAAAATTTTAACATGTAATTTTAAAAGAAATAGTAGCGAGTTCACTAACTAGCTAAATACGCTGTTCTGCAGCTGAGCGCTTGGCATATCATTTAAGTGGTACATTTTTAATTAGGGCATTTCCACCACTTTTAATGTAATTTCTGTCATTAAACAGGGGAAAGTTTCATTGTGCTCGGCGCTCGGGCGGAGGCGGCTGCGGCCCGGGGCCGGCTGGTGCTGGGGGGCTCGACGGGCACCCCCGGCCGCCGGGGCCGGAGGGACGGAGGCTGCTGGCGAGGCAGAGAAGTCGTTGTCCTAAATGAGCTCTCCCTCTCCTTTTCAAAGCATATTTTTCGAGGCGTTTTGATGTCGCATAAAGAGGGAGCCGGGGCGAGGGACGCATGGGCTACTTATGCTAATTCCCTTGAAAAGTTACGCCAAAAATAAATAGCGACACTCCCGCGACATCCTTTAAATATTGTGGGAAATCAACTTTAAAGTAATATCATTTATAATCGGCGAACAATGGCCCCGGTCTTCAAAGCTCGGGGGGAATTGTGACAGGATCTGGTGGGACCCTTTCAACCACTTTGAAATGTTTTAAAACCCGAACTTTCTCCTCCATTTAAACACAGGGATTCAGCGGCCGTGGTCACCATATGGGCGGCCGCAGCCCCATTGAGGCGGCCGGCGGCGGGTGAATAGCGGGGGGGCGGGGGGAGCCGCCTTTCAGGGCACACAAAGCCCGGGCCCGGGGCAGCGCCCTGCCAAGCGCGGGTGGCAGCGCCGGGGGCCGCGCCCGCCCGCGGAGGGGCCGCGCTCACCTCCGCCACCGCCCTCATCCATCACTGTCCGCCCGGGCCGCGCCCGGGGACGGGGACGGGGAGGGGGTCGGGGCAGCCGGCGGGGATCCCCGAACCTGCCGGGGAGCCGCTGCCGAACCCCGCGCCCTCCTTGACCCCCGAACTCCAAACTTTTGAGGCCGCGCTTTTTTGCCGCTCCGTCTCCCCTAAATCTTTCAGCCAACTAAAAGTTTCGCCTAAACTCGCTTATGGTCATTTCCAACCTCCGCCTGGACAATTAAGATATCTTCTTTTTAGACACACACCCCTTTTTTCTTTTTTTTTTTTTCTTTAGGTTTTGGTTGTTGTTTTGTTTTTTTGTTGTTTTTTTTTTTTTTTTAAAGCCCCTTAAAGAAGCGATCTCAATAGGGCTGTTCCACCTTCCAGACCTAATCCGTAAGAAAGCAAGTGAATGTCCGTCCCTATTATCCTATAGCCAGACCATCTGACGCTGGGTATAGGATTTGTTTCCTGGAAAAAAAAAAAAAAAAAAAAAAAAAAAGACGCTGGGAAATAAAATCATTCCTTAGTTTCTTAGTGTCTTAATCAGTGAGGCGGAAAACAAGCAAAAAAAGATAGCAAACCAATTGCAGCACCTCTCAGCTATAGAGCCGGGATCAAAACATTGTAGCATCTGTTGAAAGAGAAAGTGTCTAAATCCTATAGAAGGCTTTAGTCTTATAAGAGAGGGAGGGGAGAAAAAAAGATAAGAAACAGTGTCTCGGTGATCCCTAAAACCACTAAATCACTGGAGAATTTCTCCCGGATAGAGATGTCTCTTTTTGTTCTGTCAGCCCTCATGTATCCATTATTTTATTCACTGCTGCATGGCGTTTATCAGATTGAGACCATATTTGTACCCCTCTGAGACCTAACCTCGCCTTATGCTTTTTGAGTAATGGACTCTTAAAATCCAGTAACATACCCCTGCAAGGGAAAAACATTAGAGGGAGCATGAATATTCCAGAGGAAATCCATTTTATTAATTTTAATTTTGCCATGCGGATGTTTTAAGTGCCTGCCTGCCTCCCCCTCGCCTCTGCTGCCCACGCACACCCGCGCCCCCGGCCCGAGCCAGCCCTGCCCGCTCCTCATTTCGGCCGCGATTTGGGACACGGCTCCCGAGGTCCCTCCTGCCCGGGGCCCGCGCTCCCCTGCGGAACCTGCGCTCATCCCCGCGCCACGGGAAAGGGCCACCACTGGCCCCCAAAGAGCCACCGGGCCCCCCCAGCCCCCGCCTCCGGCTCGGGCGGCTCCGCCGCAGCGCGGGTGCGGCCAAGGGCCGCCGGCCCCAGGTGCGCCCGCACCGCACCCGCGCAAGGGCTGCGCCTCCCAGCCCCGCTCTGCGCCGGGGCGCCCGCAATTTCTCCATTTCATACCTTTCCTAAGGAAAAAAAAAAAAAAAAAAACAAACCCCAAAAGCACGCCCGGGCGGTGGGTGCCCTGCCTTGCGGCAGCGCCGCTCCGCGCTTCGCCTCTCGGGCTCGGGGCAGCGAGGAAGGGCACCGGGCACCGGGACCCGCCGGCACACCCCGGCCGGGCCAGGGCGCCCCAGGTACGGGCGAGGGGAGGGCGGCTGGCGGCAGGAGCCGCCCCGGTTCCTGGGGTGGACGTCGGGCAAAACAAAACGCAAAAAGAAAACCCCACAACCAAACAACAAAAAAACACCAAAGTGGGGGTGGGGGGGAAGCGAGGGCTCCGCTCTATCTTTCTAGTGTCCTTCATAGACTGTTTTCTTCTCTTAAAACTGACATGTCTAATTGGCAAGCGGTGCCATATCGTGTCCAGAGGTCTCCTGTGGAACATTTCTACAGCTGTCTCCTTCAACTAGACGCTTATTCATGTCGCCTTAATGAGAAACAAAACGATCTCTAATGAGCAATTACATAGCGACAGAATTGTTCCCATAACAAATTCTTGCGTGTGACAGAAACATCCTTTGTACCAGATATTCCGCACACTGTTACCGATTTTTTTCCTTGCGGGGTGAAAACAAAAAGCAGGTTGTTGTATATAGACACCTCTTCTAAAGGAATGACCAGAGCCAGAGAGAGCCGAGCCTCAACAGAGCCCGCATTCAAAAAGAAGCCATTAACCATCTTAAGTATGTAACGTAACATCCCATTATCCTTCATATTATCCCCTTGTCATTCCTACAACAAATACCTATTAATCTTCAGGATAAACAGTTTCCTATATTTACAAAGTTGTTTCGAGTCCATTGAGGAGGAATAATAATCAGCCCTACGGAGATAGTTACCGATCGCCCCGGCTTTGGGGAGAGACCCCGGCGCGGGCAGGCGGCCCGTGCAGGGCGCCTTAGGGAGCCCTAATTACCGGGCGACGGGCAAGGTTAAGGCTCAGCCCCGGGTCCCGCCCCGCTGCCGGCCCCGCGGCTCGGCGGACGCGGCTTTGGCAGCGGATGCTGCTGGGCTCCCCTGCCCACCGCCGGGCCCGGGCCGGGGCTGGACCCCCCCCGTGCCGCCGGCCCCTCGCCCACCTGCCCGCAGCCGCCCTGGGAGGCGGCGGCACGAACGCCCGCCACCCTCAGCCCTGCGGCCGGGCAGGGCACAAGGTGGACCCGCGTCAGAGCCACCTCCACCGGGCGAGGCCGAACCGAGCCGATCCGGGCCGCCCCGGGCTGGGCAGCGGCGGCCGGGTTGTCCTTACCTTGCGTGGGCTGCCCGGGTACCGAGGTGCCGGGATACCAGCCGGGTCGGGTGCCCCAGGTCCCCGTCTGCCCGTTCAGCATCCTTAGCTTGTCGTACATCCCGTCGGCACCCATCTGTTGCTTTTCGCTAGCCAGGTTGCGTAGGACTCTGTTTATCGACGACACCTGGAAGGCAAAGGACAGGAAAGGCAATGGTAGTGCGGTAGCGCGCTCCCCGCCAGCCACCCGCGCATCCCCCGCGTCCCTGTGCGCAGCGGGCGGCTCGACCTGGGCGCAAGTCAAGGCTTCCCTGAGCGCCGGCTGCGCGCTGCGGCCGCCCCGCACCGCCGAGTCCCCGACTCGCTCACTGCTGGTGGTGGTGGTGGTGCAAACAAACAAACAAACCACGGGGGAGGGGGGAAACAAACAAAAAAAAAAAAAAAAAAAAAAAAAGAAAGAAAGAAAAAAGGGGAAAAAAGGCAAAGCAAAAAAAAATAAAAAGCCCCAAACCCAACCCTGCAACACCAGAGTGATGGCTTCGACTGATGCTTGCAGTCCTGAGGCGCCAGGCGCAGGGGTCACCCACATATTGTTTTTTATTTTTTTTTTTCCCTCCTTAAAGGCATTTGTCAGATTCTGTATGAAAAAAATGCGTCTGACCCTGCCACATGCAAATGATGTGAACCTGCTATCCTCTCTTCTGATACCAAAACAAAGGAAGCAGAAGCTCGCTACGGCTACCCAGCATTGTACACGGCACACAGGAAGGTTTTTTTCATGAACTTACACTGGGTATATTATCGTTGGTACAGACCCCCTCTGATAGTAATCTGTCTCGAATCTCCCACGCAAAGATGGAGGGGCACTCTCGTTTATACTGCGCTATTTTGCTTACAACTTCTGGAGTCGCTACTCTCGGTTTACTACCTCCGATTGCCCTGGGTCTGATGGAGCCAGTTTCGTAATACCTGCCCAAAATTTTACTCACACATCCATTCGACACCTGGATAGGGAAGTGGACAGAAAATCACATTATTAATAATTTCAAGACAAAAATAAAATTGTTTAAGTATGCATTAAACAATGACAAGCTTACGTTTTGATTGTCCAGCACTTGGACTTTTGCATCTGCATGGGTCTATAACACAAAAATATACCTTAAATGGTATGAGAACTTACTTAGAGAGTCTTTTTTTTTTTTTTTTTTAAAAAAAAAATTACATTCGTGGCCCTACCCTCAACAAAAGTGATACTTTAAAAACATTTGGAAGGAAAAAAAAAATCATCTGGTCAAAACGTAATTCTCTTAGTATCAATGTTAAAATACGTCTTAAGTGCGAACAATAGGTAAACTAGACTAGTCTCCATCCTTCTCACTGCTCTTAGCCAAAGGACTTGCGGGGAAGGGGTGAGTGAAGGGTTTTCAAAACCTACATTTACAAAATACCCCTAAACTGTGCCAGATTGCGTGAATGTCCATAAGGACAGACTCCGGGCTAAAACAGCGTGGCTTCAAGGGGGGGTCTTTCTCTCTCTCTCTCTTTTTCTCGTTTGTTTTTTTTTTTTTTTTTTTTTTTTTTTTTTTTTTTTTTTTTTTAGATATTGTTTTGCTTTTTGGAAGAAAAAAACAAGGTAAAAATTTTTAAAATCAGTAAGCCACGCTAAATGCATACAGATATCACAAAATCATAAGTAAATACGGGAGGTAAGGAGGGAAGGAGAGGAAACTGAAATTATGCCGGCCCGTAAAATTCAGTTTATTACAGCAAACTAACTGTAACGCCAGTGCAGCTTATCATCGGACGGAAATAAGGGGGAACGAAAAGTAAAAATTTAAATATTTGAAAAGGCATATATAGATATATATACGCATCGAAAGGTCTATTTGCAGCAACAATCGAGCAGATGGATCGTTTTATTAGGCTGGAAGGCGGGTGGTGGTGGTGGGTGGGTGTGGGGGGGTCGCATTAGCGCCCGGCGGTGACACAGCGGCGCTGGAGCGGAGCGGACGGAGCGGTGGGAGGACGGGGGACGCCGCCGCCTTCACCTGCAGGATCCGGGAGATGTCGCAGGGCCGGGCGCCGCTGTGAGCGAGTTCCACGATCTTCTGCCGCGTGGAGTCGGGCAGCGGCCTCCCGTTGACGAACACCCCGCCGAGCTGGTTCACGCCGCTGTGACCTGCGGGAAGCACAGCGCCCACCATAGCACCCTCCGCTCCCGCCCGGCCCCCGCCGAGCCCCGAGCGCAGCGCTGCCCTCCGCCCCGCCAGCACCGCCGCTCCGCTCCGCCCGACCTGGGCCGACCGCTCCCCACCCGGCTCCGGCCCCGGCCCCGCCGCCATCCTCGCCCTCTGCTCCCCGGGAGCCACCGCGGCTCCGAAAATGCGTCCACGGCGCGCTCCCCGTCTGCGAAACCCGCGGTAGCCACAAACCCCGAAACCCAACCCCAAAAGCCCAGAATATTCCTGGCCGGATCGCCTTGGGTTGCTCCTTTGCTTTGCCTTTTTTCTTTTTTTTTTTTTTT